AAGACGTGGAGACACCAGGGCAAAGAAGCGTGAAAGCAAAATGGCCATTACCTTTGGATGCTTTCCAGAGAGGGTCTGGAAGCGGTTTAGTCCCATACACCAAGCCCACCTGAGCCATGTGCCCTCTCGGGCCCTCTTGCTTCTAGTAGCAGATCCTGGTATCACCTCCTCCTCTTTCAGCGCTTTACTGATCAACTTCAGAAGAGGAGAAATGGAAACGTTTTGGACTCTGCTACTGCATGAGTGTCCCGGGTTCAGCTCAGTGTGTTGTGTGGATGTGAAGCAAGAGGCGAAGCAAAACTGCAGCACAGGCTGATGTGGTCACTACCATCTTGATCTGCAAGATGCAAACTGCTTCCTTGTGTACGGGTTTGAGATGTGACAAATGATTAGAGCAGGTCTGCTAAGGAAAAGTCAAGTGTTAGGTAGAGAGCAGCACTGTTGAGACTGCTGAGTAATATTGCTTTTCCTTACTGACCTGATCCATTCCTCCCTTATTTATCCTTGTCCCTACTCTCATCACAGACAGATCCCTCTTCTCATATTCAGACTAATTTGTTCAGAACAGCACATGAGCACACACACAGCACTGAGCATGACTATGCCCTGGGCTCACTCTGCCTCCTCGAGGTGTTTTACGGTACCAATAAATGCCAACAAAAAATACCAAATGCTAACAAAAACCCCACAACCAAAACTCCCTTTCTCTTTTAGACTGCAGAGAACCAAATTTACACATTAGCTACAACACAGCAGAACTCTCTATTCCCCCAAACACTCCTTTCAGGTGTGTTTTAGCTCAGGTATAACCTGAATTTAAGAGCAGAGCAGAATAGGCTGGAACAGAGTAGAGTAGAATAGAATATACCAGAATAGAATAGAACCAAATAGAATAGAACAGAACCGAACAGAATAATTCAGCTGAAAAGAACCTACATTAGTCATTTAGTCCAACAATAGTTGGAGCTCAACAATAACACATTGCAACTGGTTATTCTGCATTTCAATTGGCTATACCCTATGCTGAAAAGTGGGTGGTGGGACCGTAACACCATACGTACAGCATCAAGAACTCATACCTTACTTACACCTTCTCATAGGCTGCTCATTGCTAAAGTACCAGATACCAGAAGTGTAATTTCTGTGTCTGGATGCTTGAATGCACTGGGAAAAGTTAAGGCTGTCACCAGATGAGGGTGTGTGCTGAGGGACTGCAGCATTTACTCTCAACTTCCTCTTCAGAGCTGACTCAGAGATTATGGCAACCAAACCATGGTCCAGAAACTGATAAACACATGTGAAGATCCTCATGTGGACAGAGCAAACTGTGATGTGAATGTGCAATAAATGGTGGTTAAGACTACGCCTCAGGATTGACTGCAATCAGCTAGCATGCTAAGATGAAAACCAACCCGCTGGCACTAGGCTTGAATAAACATTTCTTAAGAGGTTAACAGGAATTACAATGCAACTTTTTATGGTGCAAATACAGGTTGGAAGCCTTTCCATTTCATACCTGAAACAGGCGTAATTACCAGGACTGTGAGGCCATCGGAATGCCCCTGGTTCTCTTTCAGCACACAGGGAGCGCCTCCGCCTGTTCATTCCCATTACACACAGCTTGTAGGCTCCATCAGGCAGATGTGAACAAACCAGCAAACTGGTTGGCAATGCAGCGAGCAAGAACAGCAGGGTGGAGGGATGCTCCTTCTCGGCAGAGCACTAAGCTGTGACTATTTCTTTGCAGGAGGTATCATGAGCTTCCATTGACTAACACAGGGACAGCTGTGAACTTATCTATGAGTGGAAAGACTTGGAGGATAACTTTATAACTTCATTTAGGAGGTTACTACCACAACCCACCCTGGTTGTCTCACACTTTATCAGTCGGTGATGGCAGCCTAAAGGATTTTTTCCTCTGTCACAACTCGACTGTGTCTGGATTTTTATTTCTGGCAAGACAACTACCCATAAATCTGTGCAAATTCTGTTATGTTTTCTTCCATCAGATAAGAGGAGCAGATCAGAAGCCACTTTAGTAAGAAAGCCAGGATAATTATTCTCCGAGAATAATTATGAAGTGGGGAAACTGAAGAACAGCAACATGAAGGAACTTGACCCAGTTCCCTCAAAGAACAGTGGCAGAGCAGGAGAGAGATGACAGCTCTCATGCACCTTGATCCTTTTATCCTCCATCCCTGGCGCATCCTTTACGTCCTTAGCGAGGCTGCACAGGGATGCGGCAACATCAGCCACGGCCATGAGATAAATCTCCAGTCAAACAACGAAAACCTCATGTGGGCACAGAGGGGGGATGAACCCCTATTGCCAGACTCTGGAACCATTTCAGAACCCACAGGAGAGCAGGGGCAGTGAGTACCACTGCCGTGAGCATTCCTGACTCCTGCCACACACCAGAGATGGAAAGGTCTTTACTTACATCAAGACCTGTAAGTGACAACAAGGAGAAGGGTAAGTAACTCCTTCACCCTGCCAAGAACCACCTGCAACAGGAAGCACTGATGCACCTAAAACTGTTTCCAGTGTTGCAGGGAGACAGTTGGAAGAGCCTCAAAGTCATTTTTCTCTGCTCTAACTTGCACGCTACAAAGAGGAACGAGGATATTCCGCAGCACTGCAGAATCAATAGTTAGGGTGGAAATGTTTGGTCTGATGTCAAGGCCAATTAGCTGCAAGCGGAATTAGCACATACCCTGCACATGTTCTTCCCTAGATGGGAAAGATGTTGCTGTGAAGGGCCTCCATGCAGGTGTGCACAGAAGCTCTGGAATTAGCATCAGATTTCCCAACGCTGAACAACCCAACACCAGCTTCTTCTCTTGGCACACAAGAGTCTGCAGCAAGGACCTGGTCTGCAGATGGGACAAGCTGAGGGTGGACAAACCTGCAGACCCTCTGACTGACCGTCTGCATTTGGATTTTATACCTCAGAAAGGTCAACCTGCTCTAGTGGAAGGTGTCCCTGCCCATGGCAGGGGGTGGAACTAGGTGAGCTTTAAGGTCCCTTCCAGCCCAAACCAGTGTGGGATTCTGTATCTTCATGGACTAATCTGTGCTATGTCTGGTTTGGCTACAGAGAAAGAGCTCAACTCTTAAGTCCTGCTGGAAGATTAAGTGCATTCGAGGAGAAGATAAGTATGGATGCAGGAGTGAAGTCTGTCACACTAAAAGAAACCATCTCCACACATTTCGTTAAAGATCAAAAGAATCAGGACAAAGGAACTGATTTTCAGGACCTCCATGCAAGGTGATGTAAACCCAAATGTTTCTGCAGCAGCTTAATCCTCACTTTGCATCTCACCCTTGGAGCAGCCAACACAGAAAGTGACCCTGCAGAGGCCAGGAGGGGAGAGCCCATGGAGGGAGGCAGCACGGGGCTATGCCAGCTCTCCATGCGCCCCTTCTGCTTCTCCTCTGGACCTCGACCCACCTGCAAAGCCAACATCCTCCACCCTGCACTGACAAACCCAGACCTCACAGATGTCGATGTGAACTGCACCAATGCCTAAAATAAGGAGAGCTGCCCCAATGCACATGTGTGCACCAGAGGTGACAGCATTGGCCAGTCAGGGACAGCGTCTGGGTGAGGCTGGAGGGGTACAACGGGATCCCTTGTACCTACAGAACGACATCCAAAATGCCTTCACTGGGATAACTTGGTCAGATGATGTCATTTTCACATACCCAGTGGTAAATGCACCTGCAGCAATGCCTTGGGATGGTTCCTCTGTTATCTTTTACTTTATTCTCGGACCAGCTCTGCATCTGTTTGCTGAAGTGAGGCACCACCACTGCGGTGGGATTGGGAACAAAGCAGAAACACAGAGAGAGCTCAACCGGGGTGATCACCCCTGTCCATAGCCACAAGACTCTCACAACTGAAATCCCACCCCACCAGCACTCAGCAGATACAAATCCCAAGGTCTTTGTGCTTTACATCTATGCAAAGCCAGCTTCACACACTGAGGAGGTCCCGAAGCTGTCGCTAATACCGTACTAATGGTGCCATCCAGAGGCACTTGGATGTAGCACACAGCTCTCTGACAGGATTACCACACAAGCAAGAGACGACCTGTGCATGATGTTACATAGCAGAATTTAAACTAAACCAGCCATAAAATAACAACATTTTCTGTTATTTTTAATGTAAGATGCCCATCAGCTTTCATTCTTTTGTTTTTCTCCCCCCTTTTTCAATATGCACTGTGTATTTTGATTTTCCATGCGTGCTAAATCAGTCATTCCGATAAATACACACATCCCTGACCTCTCTTCGCAAACAAGAGCTATTTCATTTTACTCCCAGTTGCTAACAACAGGTCTGGCACCACGTTTTAGAGAGACACTCCTCTGTATACAACAGAACACTATTTCAGGTGACAGCAACCACACATTAAGACAGGAAACACAGCAGCACAAAACAATCTCTTTTCCCCATCTAGAACAGCTGATGATTCCTTTTCAGCTGTGAAACCATGACTCAAGCTTGATACAAGATATGTTTTTCCAGCAGATGATGATACATATTTATGTGTATGTGTGTGTATATACAGTTTGTGTCAGTTGCCTGAACAGTTTGGATGCAGAATCACCTGTGGCATATTGTGGTGGGCAAAATACATCACAGGAGATATTTGTTTAGCACAAAGGTCTAATTTACCTCTATGTGCAGAGATACCTCCTTCACTGACAACACCTGTATCTGAGTGACATCAAGATGTAGATTCATTGAGTGATCCCCTTAATACCAGAATAGAATCAACTGTTGAATCCTTCTTTTCTCCTTTAGGAAATTAATGGCATTACACAGATTATAGACAAATAATCCCAACAGCACAAACTCTATACTTAATTTTTTAATCTTGTGGATTTTTGGAGCTTTATTCTTGTAGAAAACTGATTTTGAGATGCGCTACCTTAGAGATAGACAAAATACAATACACTTGTGTGTCTTCCTTCCTCAGAAATCATCACTTACTGGTCCATCAGATTTAAGGCACTGGGTATTATTTCATCACCTCACACAAACTAGAAGGAAACCTGAGAAACAGATTACTCGAAAACTAACGCAGTAACTTTTCAGCTAGCCCATGGCAAGCACCATTCTCACGCGCTGCATCCCTCCCAAAAAGAGGATCCTTCTTTTACATTCTCAGTATTTGCAAATCTACCAACTGGCAGATGGTGCTGCTGAACCTACCTCAAAAAGGCCCCGGTTATGGTTAAGAGGAGATGATGGTTAAGAGGAGATTTGGAGTGTTATGGAATCCAGACACTAAACATAGGGACCAATGTTTCATTGCGTTTGGAGAGTCACCTTGAGATGACCTCAAACAAACCTGGCCTGAGCATGAGATCATGGCTTCATTTTCCACCAGTCAACCCTGGACCGTGCCCTGTCAGGTCTCCCATCAGCAGCTGCAGGGAGGTAGCTCTTGGGTCAATGAAAGCACAGAATGATGGAGACAACTGCATGGAGAAGGGTTTGAAGGGTCATTTGAAAGAGATGAAGCCTGCACTCTGATTAGATGAGAAGTGGAGAAGCAGCTCACGCGTTTCAGACATCTCAGTGCTGAATACCTGTCTGGAGGAGATAACTGACATACGGAGTCCTTCATAAAGCAGTGAGCGATAACCCAGAGAGAGCACTGAGTCGACAGTCAAACGTTACGATCTTAACCCTGCTACAAGTTTCAGACACGTCTCACAGGAAGTGAGCAACACCTTCAGCTGCAGGAAAAGAAAGCAGCAAGCCCCAAGAAACACTCCAGTTCTGTGCCCCGCGATGGGGAAATCATAGCAGCAATTTAACAGCAAACACTTATTAGGAGCTCAAAGACAACGTGTCTTCCTCTTCCTGCCACTTTTGTGCATACAGGGTTTCCCTAAGCTGTGTTTTGCAACTGAGAATGCTATCACCCACCCAAGCCTAACTGCTGCCCAAGGAGCTGTCCGTTCAGACGACAAACCAAGGGTACATTGACTGCAAACCTGTGCCACCAACAGGAAAGGCTGTGGGAAAGGCATGGGATTTTGTGCACTCCCTTTGAACAAGTACCACGTTCCAGAGTGGAATTCGTTTTCTCTCAGAAAGGAATGTGTTGGAAGGCAATCAGAGCACAGTGGGATTTGGCACAACCATTACCTGCGGCTCTTCCCCCCCTTTCCATGACTCCCCCACGGAGCGCAGGGTGTAGGATGTGCACTGACCTGTACTTCCCTGTCCGCACTTGCACGGCTCTCATCCCGCACTGCTGGGCACCTCCTACATCGTTCACAATATCATCTCCAATCATGATGGCCTGTCAAAGCAATGACATACAGAACAAGTGGCATCAAGTGAGGTTTATTTCTGCCATACGTCACCCTCCCCTGACATAACAAACAGCTTGATTTGATGTTTAATACTGCCATCAGACAAATTAAACAAGATAATATTGTCATCGTATTGATTAAAAGTCACCCTACCTTGAATTTAATTCATGCTCTAGCTCCTCCAGCAATGTACTAGTGCAGCACAGAGCCGTGCGATGTGTAATCAGGAACATAAATCAAAGTGATCTGGCACGCAGGTCAAAGGGAATGGTGAATTTTAGGAAGTTAGGCCTATGCTGGTCCTAACGGCCCACTTATGTCATGCTCCAAGTGGTTTAAATTAATCTTATCTTTTTAAACAATTCCTAAAATTGGTATTCTAAAAGCCACTTATAAGCTTCAGATTGTGACCAGCGAGATGTGTAAGTTGCTGAGCTTGATCCCAACCCATTCTCAGGTTGATACAGCAATTCGGAAATCACTGTAAAATCTCATTTGTTCAGTTTTGCATGACGTAACAGGATGATTATAGAATCATAGAATGGTCTGGGTTGGAAGGGACACTAAAGACCATCTAGTTTCATCCCTGCTGAGAGGGCTGGGCTTGTTCAGCCTGAAGAAGAGAAGGCTCTGGGGACACCTTACAGCAGCTCCCAGTGCCTAAAGGGGCTGCAGGAAACCTGGAGAGGGGCTTTGGACAAGGGCCTGTAGGGACAGGACAAGGGGAATGGCTTTAACCTGCCAGAGGGGAGACTGAGCTGAGCTCTTAGGCAGAAGTTCTTCCCTGTGAGGGTGCTGAGGCGCTGGCACAGGGTGCCCAGAGAAGCTGTGGCTGCCCCATCCCTGGCAGTGTTCAAGGCCAGGTTGGACACAGGGGCTTGGAGCAAGCTGCTCTAGTGGAAGGTGTCCCTGCCCGTGGCAGGGGTTGGAACTGGAGCAGCTTTAAGGTCCTCTTTTTTTACACTCCTTTTTACATAGAAGGCAACCATACAAGAACCAGCTCATCTTCTGTGTTCCCTACACTTCAGTTCCCACTCTGCAAGCAGTCTGCTGGGCAGTACTAAATCAAACCTACTGAACAAGTGTAAAACCACTTAAGTTCCAGAGCTATTTTTATTAATCATCTAATTACACCATAATCTTCTCCCCCATATTACATGGCACATAAAGGAAATACTGCAGCTGAACGGAAGATTTTCTGAAAGCATTTATAAACCATGAGCTATGAGCAAGTGCATCTGGAACAGCTTCAGCTGATAACGACTAATTCTTCTTTTGAGTAACACATCAGGTGCAATGTGCAAGACTAAACATAATAGGTAGCAGCCCAGTCTATCTTCTATGTAGTTCTGTAATACTGCTCATGTGAGTGATGATGATCATCCCTCAGGTGATGGGATGTTAAGAGGATGCCCTCTCAAGTCAAGGCTCATTTGTCCAGTACCACGCTGAAGTAGTCTATTTGGAAACAGTTTACACAAGCCCACCCTTGCTCCATTCTGCCCAGAAGAAGCATGTCTTGTCAGGCCAGGTTGGATGGGGCTTGGAGCAAGCTGCTCTAGTGGAAGGTATCCCTGCTTATGGCAGGGGGCTGGAACTGGATGAGCTTTAAGGTCCCTTCCAAACCAAATCATTCCAGGATTCTATGATGGGTTCATTTTAAGTAATCAGTAAATAAAGCATGCATATACAGATGAGGAAAATAGAATAGTCCCACTGTTACCTGCAGAGCTGCAAAGAACCCGGCAACACTGCTCCTAGGCACTGGGATTCCAATTCCTATTGCAACTCCCCTTCAAGATGCTTTGAGATATACAATCATTCTCAATGCCTGGATTTAATAGTTTAGAATCCCTTCTTCTTATACAGTTCCTTCTAACACTTCCCCAGAGAGGACAGGGAAGAGCACCCAGGAGCAGAGCTGCTCTCTGCCCTTCCTCAGCCTGAACCCAGATGTTCAGGATGAGATTCCTGCAGCAAAGCCAACTTCATTCCCGGGTTCTCAATACCCTAAAACTGGATTTCCTCTGGAAACAGGGAAGGGCAGAGCGGGGCAGAGCAGCTCCCCCTTGTTCCCTGGGGCTGTATTTCCCCTGTCTGGGCAAGTTTTCCTGCAAGAGTCCTGGCAGCTCTGTGAGCAGCGATGAGCAGCGATGCTTGTCCAGGCCAGCTTGTGGCATCCGCATACAAACCTGTACTCCAGCCCCCAGGGATTTCACAGATTTACTATCGGTGAAGGGCAATAATCACTAAAGGAGGAGCAATTATTCCCAAATCATTTAGGATTTAAAAAATCATTGGCAAGAAGATAGGGGTCAAAAGGTGCGCTGCCGAGGGAAATGAAAAAACCCTACCTGTCAAACCTGGGTTTAACTTCCCCTCCGACTGCAATATGGTAAGAGGAGAGAGAAAGAGATAAAACTGAAAGGTCACATAGCCACTGAGAGCAGGAATTGAAAGACGCCTGCTTGTCTTCATGTTTTTTACAGGGATCACACCATGAAGCTGATCAGTTAGTCCATGGAAGGTCCTTCTTTTAGATCAGCTAAAACTTGACTAAAAAAGGCCAAAAATTAAGTGAGACATTCTCTCCGGTTTAAGGCAAATCATCAAAGAATTAAGATGAGTGTAATTTATACCCTGCTAGCCCCTATATCTGGTGAGAGGTGTTGTGTGTGGTTGTACACATGTAGTAAAGAAAGCACACGTGTGCCAAAGCTGAGTGAGGCCACCACTCTTGAAGACTCCCCCATCAACCTCAACTCTGACTGACAGTGCTAATGGAGGAGATGAACATGACCTCCAAGAATTTGGGGGTGGGAAGGCACAATATAATCCCCCCTGGACAAACATCTGTGGCACAGAGATCACCATCAGTGTCAGCAATCTGCCTGGTGTGGTCTGGGCCACAGACCCAGAGCTGAGTGAAGGTGGGGACTGACTCCTCTCATGCACAGAAGTAGCCAACGCTAATAAAGCTTCAGAGATGCTTTAGGGTGGTGAATGGGAACCTTGGGGTATTTTTTGTGTGCAAACAAGAGGTTTGGTATTCACTAAAACCACAGAAAAATGAGTGATCAGAAAAGGAATCGTGGAGTAAGGAAAAGAATAAGGTAGAAAGATAAACACATCCTGTATTCCCTAGCCAGACTCCATGTTTACTAGCACAAGCTCCTTAGGTACTTAGGATGCTGAAGGCTACAGAGGATGCAGAGATGCACAGGATCCTGGTACTTAGGATGCTGAAGGCTACAGAGGATGCAGAGATACACAGAAAGAAGTGTGCCAACTTCAACAGACTATTCAACACAGGGAATGCTTCTGGAGTCAAACGTATTTATACCTGAACAGATTCTTGCTAGAGACTTAATAACCTTAAGCTAAACGTGTCAGGGGCATAAGGAAATAAAGTTTATACACAAAAGCTTCATTAAGGTATTAAATCCCTTTACAAGAAGTACAATGCATTCTCTTTTCTCCCTGTTCCTGGTCCAACTGGTAATCTCCGAGGCTTCAGGATCCTGTATTACTGTTAATTATGTTTCTGTCTTGGAACTACATCAAACATGCAAAGGCTCGGTGCCTGTGATGGGAGAAAACGTACAACAGGGCAGGTAAAACACAGAAATACATTAACCCTCCAGGGCAGGTTTCCACAGGCTGCAGGACCAGATGGGTTTCAATGTGCTTTCAGCAGGACTCCAAAGTTAAAACTTCCCTTGGCCACTTCCCACTTGTTCTGGGGATGGAAAAGCTTCCCTTGTGGTAGCCAGGAACAAAGAGGGGATGCTGGTGCCCCTCTCGGGGTGACCTCCCTCTGCTCTCACGCCCCACTAACTCCCATGCGAGACCTGCAGGTGGCAGGAATGGGAATTGCTTAACTATGTGTAGTTTATGCACTCCAGCATGACCTGCCATAACTCCCATTAAACCAGGACCATTTGCTACAGAGAGAACTTTTTATGATTATATAAAACTACCAGAACCTCAACATTATTTAGGTTTTATTATAAAGCTGTAAAAATCATCCACTGTTACAGCTGCCTTAAAACATATGAATTAGGCATTTCAGTAACCTTTAAGACATGTTATTCTTTGTCATACTACCGAAGCAGGAGATAGGTCTGGTTACCTCTAAGAGGTTTAAATTTCCAATCTATTAAAGTAATACTGTCAATCTGTTATTTCTAGGCCATTGAGGAAAGGTTAAAATGAAAATTGGACTTTGGGGACTTCCTTCTATTCTAAGTGCAGGTTGAAAACATCTCAGCAGCAGAAGGCAAAGTCAGGGCCTTGGAAAGAAGCAGTTATCAAGGGAAATGACTGGTGATAACTTTATTGATTGAAGTAGGTTGAGAAATGTAAGATTTGCCACTGTCTGGAATTACAGCTTTATTAAAAGGGTATTCTTCATTAAAAGGCAGGTGAACGAAAACTGTAATATGTTTTCAAAAGTACAGCCCACCTCAGATGGTTTAATGATGGCTTAAATGCATTCCACCAGTGGAATAAATCATTGGCAAGCATTTTCTGAAAGCAAAGGCAAGTAAAATCAGTCCTTCTCATATCATTACAAATGCAGAGGAGTAAAGAGCTCCTTCAGGAGACAGATTAATATCTATTGCAGTGCATTACTAAAGAACTTACTGAACTGAATATACTGAGTTTCTATTATTATGTATGACAAACTAAAACAACCTGCAAATGCTTCTCAAAGAACACTAAAGTTGCAAGATCAAGCACTCAAAGTTAGGAAAAGGTGTTAGAATTAAGGTAGTTTGCTGTAATTTGCTCCTACGCATGTGCATCCTGATGCAGGTTTTAACTCCTGTTTTTCCCTTAGGCAAAGCATGGAGTGACTGGTGCCATTAGGCAGCGGTGTCTGCTGTGCTGCTTCTGGTTAGGCACACACCCCCTCCATCTCCAATCTCTCTGAATACAAAATATCACACCTACAGACTAGCTGTATTACTACAACAAACTGATGGCATTTAACACTAGAAACTAGATAGGAAAAGAAAAATCTCTGTCAAAATACAAAGTTAGTCACCATTAGCACTATGGCAAACAGCAGACAATGAATAAATAGTCTCTGCTGGGGACTTTTACTGCTTTTATGTACCCACACCAAATCCTCCTGCAGTTGATGGGAACCACTCACTGAAGCTCACTCTATGGGGCTGGTCTTGCCAGTTTTGATGCATTCAATCAAATCTGTTTCCTGGGGCAAAGTTTTTGAGACAGGAGTTGTGGTGCTCTGTCACATCCCTGTAATGATGCCCTCCCTTGGTGCCATGTGCTGACACGGTCCTGGCGTAGCGGTGTCTCAGGACAACAGAACCATCCTGCCTATGGAAAAGGGCAAGGAATGCTGCTATGCAGGGTCACAAGGACAGAGAGCTCAAAAATAACAGAGTCCCATGCTGGTTTTGGTTGGAAGGGGCCTTAAAGCTCATCAGTTCCAACCCCCTGCCACGGGCAGGGACACCTTCCACTAGAGCAGCTTGCTCCAAGCCCCTGTGTCCAACCTGGCCTTGAACACTGCCAGGGATGGGGCAGCCACAGCTTTCTTCCTACTCGTGTGTACTACTCATTTCTGATACAAGCAGGAAGGAAACATGACCCTTCGTGCATCTGATTTACACAAAGAGCAGCCAAGGGCTGAGCTCCGTGGGGCTTTTTTCCCTGTGTTCTTTTTTCCATCTACTACTTATCCAAATGTCGCTCTGTGTCTGAAATGGACTCCTTGGTTTGTTGGTTGGATGAATGGATTGAATAGCTGCCGTGGCTGTACCTGGGATATTATGTCCAGTCTGAGCTCTCTTGTTACTGGGAAGATACTGACAAACAAGGGATCATTGCAGGGGGTCAGGGTGCAGAGGGACCGAATCCCAAGGGAAGCCTTGAGAGCTAAACACACGGTTTAGTAAGAGACAACTATTGTAATGGTAACAAGTCTGGAGATAATCAGAGGGAGAAGATATCCAGGATGCCAAGCAGTTATTGTGGTTGTTACCTGGAGCAAAAGTAGAAATGAGGAGATGCAGTTTAAAAGGCCCTTAAGACCTACTCTGCTGTGAGCACTGTCCCTAAGGCCCTGACAGAAGCCCAGCTGCCTGGCTCACTGCAAACTGGACAAAACATTAATAACCTGGAGCAGGGAACACTCCTGCACAAAGAAGGAGATGGATTATATGGCCTACCAGGTCTTTTCCATCTCCCCTCTCTATAATAAAGTAAAACCCAAGCACATACTGAATTACAGGGCCATAATTTCATCTCTGGGCTCTAGGGACCTAGAAGCCACCCAAACTTCACTCTGGTTGTTTATAATGTCACCAAAACCCCCTGGGGGAATTATTATGCTGTAATTCATTGCTGCCTGGGAGTCATCTCATACTCATCCTGATGTCCTGTGTGACATAACAACAAATCAATAAGGAAGATCTGGCCACAGCTACAGGGACGGGGGGAAAATGGTCTGTACTAAGCAAGCAGGGAGCATCACACACTGGATGAATTCATCAACATAGCAGGAGGTTTTGAGTCAGTCAGTGCTTCCCACTCACCTAAATTAGAAAGCATTTCACTTCCACCTTTCTCTTTTAAGTAGTCAGTGTGACACCAAAGGGAACAAGCAATATTTTGGCTGCAAATCCACCACACCGCAGCCTCTAGTTGCCAAGCGGAATGCCACGTATAGCAGCAGCTCTCATCAACATCTTCCATAATTCCTTGGGAAAACTAACTTTCACTCTTCTGTATTGCTTTCTTTAGTCTCCAAATATAGGAATGTCACAACAGAAGTGTGTGTTCTTTTGAACTATAAGGTTTGGGAGGAAGGTGAGTTAGACAGTGCAACATGAGTACAAGTAGGAGAAGCCACAGCAGAGAACGGATACAAGAGTCAAAACTGGGTAGAGGGATGGAGAGCACAAGCCAGAGCAAAGAGAGACAGACAGAGGGAATGAAAAGGGAAACAGCAGGCAAGCAATAAGAACCCCCAAAGCAAGCAGAGAAACTCATGGCATGCCTTTGAGGAAGGTAGGAAGCACAAACAGGGCAGAAGAAATGCAGCCTGCTAGCATATACCCTCTTGGCTGCCAGTTCCCTTTCGTCTACTTCATGTTATCTAACAGAATGGGCAAACATATTTGGTTTTTTTCCCTCTGAAGCATTTTTTCAACCAGTTCTCTCTTCCTTATATTTTTTGGAGTCATTCATACAGAGATCCCGTGTATTAATATTTCTCTGCACCATGTATAACTCACTGGCCACACTCCCTTCAACCTCTTTGATAACTTTACGTGACAGCCAGCAAACCAGAGAAAACGCATCAGTGAGCATACCTGTATGGCACAGCCAGGGGTCAGAGCATCAGAAACTCACCTGCTGCGGTGGAACTCCCATTGCTGCTAAGGCTGACTCAAAAAATGGCTTTGCTGGTTTCCCCACCACCTCAGCTTCAACATCACAAGCGTACTGGAGAAAAAGGAGAGGGACGCACACAAAACGTGCCGGTCAGAAAAGCAATTTTCAACCCCATAACTCCAGTCAATTATATAGAATAGGGTTGGAAAGGATCTTAAGATCATCTAGTTCCAACCCCCAAAGTATATAAAGAATGTGATTATTGATTTTGCCCTTCAATAATACAGTGGGTGAAGGTGAGTATCAGAGAATCAGGATAACACAAGTCTTTCATGAGCTCTGCCAGGAGAGAAAGTCCTCTTGAACAATCTCAAGTTACAAACCTCTTACATTCTCCCTCATGAGAGCTCACTCTGTTCCAGTAGCTCCCATTTTTTAAGAGCATCATTCTTAAGGAAACAGCAAATATCCTTCACATGAAATGATCAAAAATGCTGGAGGGCCTTAAAAGATTGTAGAGGGTTTCTTCACCCACCCAGCCTATTATTAATGATTCAAGTGACCAGCCAGATTTGAGGTTATTTTCCTGCAAAGAAGCATCAGTACTAGGCTGGAAAAGGCATTTCTAGCTTGTCCCTAGACCATTATAAACCTAAACTTATCTGGGAGGCAAAACCTCCAAAACTCAGAGGTACAAATGAATGTGCTGCAAGCATGCATTATCTCCACTATCCTCTGTGCTTATCCAGTACCCTACTCTGCTTTGTTCTCTGCATTTGCCATGTATTATTTTACATCTCTCTGCAAGCCTACAAAAGGGAGAGTAACGACTCTCTCCTTCTCTCAGACTGGCTTAGCCTTTGTTTCCACTTCTGCACAGACTTAATCAGGCTTAAAACCAGGTTTGCCCTTAAGTATCTTGCTGAATCAGGGCCTTTTGCTCTCAACTGTTAAGGGCAAAGGCTGTGTTAACGCTACACCAAACATAAAACGGACCTTCAGTGTACCTTGCAGACTATATTCCATGCTTTTCTTTCCTGACTCCTTCCTTCAAGGGCCTCACTTCATATAAAGGTACCACCACATGGTAAACGTTCACATTTGAAAGTAAAATGTAAAAACCTCTGGACAAAGCCAGAGAATAAATGAATCCACCTTTAGAATCCACCAGTCTTTCAAATACAGCAAATGAGTTTCAATCTGTGGAACCTTTCCTCCACCAAGGTGAGTAATTACAGAAGATGACCCATATTTATCCCAGTTACTCTTTTAACAAGGTGTGCAAGTAAGCATAATTCAAGCTATAAAATACCTCTAATGCCTTCATATATGCTCCAACATCAAGTTTCAGACCATCGGTTTCTTTATAGTAGCGTCTGGAAATGAGAGTGATAAAGTTCCAATGAAATGAAAAGGTTGGCAGTTAAATACAAAACCCCACATTTTATGATTTCTGTGCCTGTATAGATGTCCATATGGCTGCAACAAAAAGTCAAGTAATCAGAAACTCTGGAGCCTTAATTTAACACCAGGAATTAAGTTAAAGGACAGGCTCAGTAATGTGCAATGCTTGGGGAAAAGATCTCAGACCAGATGCCCATCTGGCCCCGGGGACACGACTCCACTGGTTCAAAGGGATTTCAACTAAGTCATATCAAGGATTTCAACTACCTTAAATGAAGGCTGAACTTGGCCTGTATTTTATTGCACAGGGACTAGCTGCTTCCAGAGGACAGCAGTTGCGTTGCTCTTCCTTTAATCAGCAACAGAGACCCCTTGGCATATACAAGATGATGGCTGGCACCAACCAGCAGCTGCAGCATCTTTTTCAGTATATCTGGAAGAGAACCCCAAATTTAGATTGGATATCAGGAAGGAAATCTTTACTATGAGGGTGCTGAGGCACTGGCACAGGGTGCCCAGAGAAGCTGTGGCTGCCCCATTCCTGGCAGTGTTCAAGGCCAGGTTGGACACAGGGGCTTGGAGCAAGCTCCTCTAGTGGAAGGTGTCCCTGCACATGGCAGGGGTTAGGACTGGATGAGCTTTAAGTTCTCCTTCAAACCAAACCATTCCAGGATTCATTCCTTCATTCCAAAGAGTTGACCATCATTGCTTGTCACCAGTCTTCCACAAGAGGAAAGCTAGGGACTAAGAAAGCCCTCCAAGTTAAATTTGTCCCTCCTAAAAACATTCCTATTGCCACAGAGCTCATAAAATTAGTATCTTCATAGTGCTTTTCTGGAGCAGCAACTCACATTAAGGCAGGTATTCCAAGCTTTCCTGATCAGAGTAAAGACAGGTTTCTATATGACAGGGAAACAGGCAGGATGAGCAGCCAGATAAGATTTGATGCCTTATCTTTCTGCCATTTCCGATTATTCAGCACTGCCTCCCTTTCAAATGGCCACTTGACCTTTGCTAGAACAGCCATTAACCTTCTACAGTCCAGTGTAAACAGCTTAATTTTCTGACAGTGCCATGACAGAAGGAATTACAAAGCCAATTCCCACTCTCAGCCCAAAACAGATGCTAAATGTAAATCACCCCGTTTTCAGGAGGAGGGCATTCTGCTTCAGTGGCTGTGACACTTTTGTTTTCTATGGAATGAACTCAGACTTGAACCAAAATGAATGGATTTGCCCAAGGAAGGCACCTCGTTAAGGTCCACCCAATTACACTGGTTCTGCCCTTTAAAAATGAAGCTGGTTTGTGGCTGGGTTTTGCACATGGCCCTTTGCATCAATGAGACTTCTGTTCATCCAAGTTATAATCGCCCTTCTTCGAGTCAGAGAACTTACCTAACTGGGGTAACCCATGCAGAACTCATGGTCACATTACCTAAATGATCAATATCTAAATAAAATGATCAATATTTAAATAAAATAAATGCTCATGGCAAAAACTGAGCTCAGAATATCCACAAATCTGTGTTTGGAAATGAAAACTAACATTTCAAACAAGTAACAGGGACTTCTTTTAGAGCTGTCTACATCAACAGATGACCAAATAAAGATATACTCTTACATGCACAGGGTACAAAATTAATTTTGCACTGAACACATTGCAAATCCTAAAGATTTGTTTCATAACACAAACCTTGGTTATCTGACATACATTAACCATTCTGCTGTTGGCTCAACATCTTTTCCTCATTCTCCTAACTGAGAAACAGGAAGAATTTTTCGCCCATGTTGTAGGATCAGAGCATGAGCATCAAGGAAGGCCGCACTCCTTCTCTCTGGGAAGTTCTACCCATCCAGATCAATAACCCACAAACCAAGAAGGGGTTTCACACCCGTTGCAGTCTATTGAAGCACTGAAACCAAGCTGTCACTCCAGTTTCCTCAAACTAATCATGTACAGTGGTTTTAAGCCCCTACATTGCACAACAGGAAAGAAGAACTCCTTCAAAGCCGTTGGGATTTGTCATTATCCACTGCTGGCATTGCTAACCTTCTGTTAAAGTCTCAGAAAACTGAATTGTTTTTAGGAGAACATTCAAATTCCCTGACTGGATTTTCCCTGCATGTGGAAGCAGAAGCTCAAAATGTGCCTTTAATGTTCAGAGAGTAACTAAGCATGCCTTTTGATACTCAAACTGTCAAAGCAGTTGATCTGTCACGTCAAAACACAGTTGTGTTTGCAGGTCTTTGCTATACCCACCAGCCCAGCCATTTCTCTTGCATATCCTTGGGCTCTCTCGAGGTCTTCATGGCCACCACACCTTACTCATGGCCAGAGGAACATCCACCCCCATCTCCAACATAGTTTGGATGGAGTTTGTGCATTGCAGCTGCTTTCACACATTGGAAGGGTTTCTATATTAGCAAATAAAAACTCTCCTGGCTTCGTGTTCCTCACATACAGCAATTCTCAAGCCACCAGCATGAAAGTGCTCCCTTATGTCTTGGCATGTTCATACATATGAATCAACCTGCAGAGATGTTAACACCAGCTTTCAGAGGTAACATCTTTAAGCACCACTCAAAGAGCAAGACATCATTTAGGTCACACAGGCTGTTAGCCACAACCAGTATCACATCTCAACCACTACAGACATGGGCAGGATTTGAGCCTGGAAGAGCAAACCTGGCTGTTGGCTGAAATAGAGCAATTTTGGACCATCTGCTCCTCCTCACAATTAGTAACTTCCGGATGCTGGAAGATTAAACTGCATCCCAAATCTACATCAACAGCACTTTATCCAAGCATGGCTTGTTGAATTTTCTTGTCAGCTTTGGGTTTGGTTTCTGTCACTGTCAAGCTCATTTATTTTCAGTTCAGACAGGAACACACGGCTACAGGCAGCAGTTCAGACAACAGTTCTCATTCTGAGATCTTGCAGGGGCAAAGACAAGATAAGCAGTGCCTGTAATCCTACTGACCTCATTCACTTAGGGGCTGTGCACATCAAAATCCAAACTCTGCACAACTTCTATGGGGTATTTTAAGATGCTCTTAAAGCAAGAAAAGTCCTTTTCTTGGTGGCTTACAAACTACAGCTGTTTAAATGCTGGAGCAGATGATCCTTGAGGTCCCTTCCAACCTAGCATCTATGACTATTTAACACCCCCACTGCCACCTGCAAACATGTGGATTGTTTCAGCCAGGTCTAGCTCACTCTTAAACACTCACCTTAAAGGGCTGGAGGCTGCCATTTGCTGTGCTCATACAGCAGAGCATCTCCAGTTTCTCTAAAAGCTGCTATGATTCCTCCTTAGAACACCTATATCCCTCACCCTCGAGAAGCCAATGAAAAACACATCCACACAAGTGCTTCCTCCGCACTGTCTACAGAAAGAAGACCACTGAGAGCTGATATTCAAGGGATGCTCACCCAGTGCTGTAGCAGCACAGACCCTACTGATGAATATCTTCAAAGTCAACTGGAGGATCTGGCATGGCAAGTTCAGTACCTTCCAGTGCCCAGGAAGCATCAGCACAGGGCTGAACTGTGGCTCATGTCAAGCATCCATACCACCTTCTAGAGACCTATTCCACTGTGATCACTTCAGTTTTCCCTTACACCCCTAGAAAGACCACAAGTAAGTGACTTGGGACAGGTAAATTGACTGCATTACCCACCAGGGACTGTTCTGTGACAGATACCTGAGCAGATCAGCCTCCCAGTCCAGACACATAGATAAATGCTTAGAAGTCGGTACTGTGAATGCCCACACAATTATCTGGCCTCCATTAACTACAAAGACACCGGGGGGGAATTAAAAGCTGTAGAGACTTGAGGAAGAAATGATGCTTAACTCACCCTCTTCCAAGGGAGATCAAAACAGGCTTCTCCATCCCAATGAGAACTCTGAAAGCTTCATTAAGGTTTGCATAGGTGAAGTTCTCTGCTGCATCTCCAATAACCACACAGTTTGGGTTTGCTTTATCAAGCTCAGCAAATTCAGGAACAAGATCTAAAGGATGCAAAAAATAAACCACAAATCCCTACTTCAGATCCCATTGGAACTGACTGTTTCGCCCCAGATTTGTGTTTCACTTCATCCATGACACAATGCTTTAAAAAGATTAAGTAAATCCAAGTCTTAATCAAGTGTTCTTCAGACCCCTCTATTCCACTGGTTCCTGCTACTCATCTGTCCTATGACAAAGAGCAAAATAAACCATTTCCTACCCTTACTTTAGCTCCTGCCACCCATGTCTCAGCAGACCCAAGGCAAACATGGGTACCCAAATGAAAATGTGTACCAGTGAGAGCAGGATTCATCCCTTTTCTCCATACCCACACTCCATAGCAGGAAACACTTTAAACTTAAAACCTCTGTCATGGTAACAAAGACCTCACCTACCTCATAGTCACTGTGGTTAAGCAGCAGACTCCTCTGAGCACTTGCTGCCTCCCAACACAACTCTATCACTGCCACAATGGAGATCCCACTCAGACCAGACCACTAAGTTATATCCCACATTCTCATGACTAAGGAAGAAGCTTTTCCCTGTAGGAAAACAGCATCTGGGAGCTCTTCCCCACACGAGCTATGGGAACTCACTGCTCTATCGCAAAGACCCACATCTCCCTGAGCTGTCCCCCTCCATGTCCCAGCATCTGCCGCAGCGTTGCCCCACCATTGTGCACAAGCAAGTGTGGCCTTAAGCCACGCTCCTTCAAGATGCGGCAGGCTGCTGGTGCTGGGGCAGTGACTTCAGCCACAGAGATGTCAAAGCCCAGGCCCTGGAGCTTCTTCACAAACTTCTCCCGGGTCGCTTGGGTTTCATTAGTGCAGAACCGAAGCTTCAGACCAGATGCTTTGATCCTGTTGAGTAAAGAGAGCAGAGAAGGGTTGACTACACACAGAGCATCAGTTCTGCTGCCCCACGCCTAACTTGGGTAATTACAACGAACATGCAGTGATGATATTCCAGAACAGGAGCAGCATCTCCTACTGTGACCAGGACACACCTAAAACGTTCAGAGAACTTCTGCCTAAGAGCTCATCTCAGTCTCCCATCTGGCAGGTAAAAGCCATTCCCCCTTGTCAAAAAGACATCAACACTGGGGTGGCTTCAGTTACAATTACCATTTAATCTCTCATAAAACACCTTTGCTGTTACTTGGTGGGTAACCCTGAAAAATATGGTACCTCTAAGTGATTCATTAATGAATGTTTACTGGTAAATGGCTTCTCAAAGGAAGAAAACATGGCCCTAAGTGGCCAAAGTGAGGTTAAGGTTCCTGTGGATCAGTACTCTGCAACCCCATTCAAGTCCTCCCTCTTCGTTTCCTGCCCCAAACTGTGGTGATCTAGCGAGGATGTCACAAAAAAGGCCTCTTCTCCAAGGATGAGTGGTCAGCTGTTTGGAGAACCATTGCATTTCAAAGTAGCCATGGACAATCCGAAGCACTGCAAATGTACCACAGTTTATAATGTATAGATATTTTCCAAAGGGAGCATCACTCAGCTCCTCAAATACATTAAAAAGCCTCAAGTTGGTCAGTTTCAGTGTGAATTTGTAGAGAGTTATCTTTGAGGACCTGAGCTCGTACAGGTGCAGTTACCTTGGTAAGTTTGGGGCTAGGCTTACAAATTCTCGTTAAAATATTACTTTTCTTCATGTTAGGATAAAAAAGGACTTTTCTATTAGGAAAGCCCCTGCACTGCTTCTCGAGACACCAAAGCACGCTGTGCTCCTTTGCTCAGGAAGATGACCCCAGCTGCTTGATGCAAACACCAAACCCACCTCGAGGTAATGAGGTGATGAGCTCTCCATCAAAGGATCCTTAGAACTCCAGTCCTGACCCAGAGAGCCCCTTCTGCTTGCTACAACCACGTGCCAGTGTCTTCTCCAATAACACTGGTGATCCATTTCTTTCTTATTATTTGTCTTTCCTAATCAGAGGTATGTGAATTATCAATTACACTTAGTGGTTAATTGCCCTTCATAAAGATAGCTTTTCTCTTTTAAATTAGGCAGTTAATATATTGTAACTAATAGCATCCACTTGTACATTATAAATGTATCTTCATCGATCGGAGCGGTGAATGTGAGATTCACTCACAAGTTAATGAAGCAATTGAGTGAAGGAGTGCAGGGGGTACGCAGGGAGTAATTACTGTTAATGAATTATGATGTGACCTTCTCAGAACAATGAGCAATCGGTGCGACAGCGGGATGACAGTATTCCACATCTGTATTCCAAACACAGTTTCGGCTGCAGTTAGAAAGCAAGGCAGCAGAATTTGGATACGTAACAAACTATCACAGAGTGTGCATGGTTAAAGAAGTATTATTCTAAATACAAAGCCTATCTGCATACTCTTAGGAGAAAAACCCCATGATGCACAACTGCCCTGAAGCAGACATTTGTTGAATGAGAAGCTACTCCTTCTCTTCCTAAAGGTCAGTGGAATGAATCCAGGAAGAGCACTAACCACTGCCTTGCCGAAACACCCTCCCCGGTCAGCCTGGTGAAGGCAAAGACACAGTTTTCCTATACCACAGATTTAAATCCCTTCTCAGTATTCAGATGAAAACCAGTTACACTTTGGAAAGCAGAAGCAGCCTGGACACATCCTGGACTGTTTCGTGCCTCTGCAGCCACCTGTAATTACTCCCTCAACAAATGAGCTCAGTAAATGCTTAGGATAAGGTTAGGTCTACAACGAATTAAGCCAAGTTGGTCAGCAAATGGGAGACCTATGGTGGAACATGGAAAGGAGTCTCCAAGATATCCTGGAACACTAAACAAAGGAAAAACCATCAAGAACTCCAGACAAGATTTATTTCTACCAAAAAATGATGCATTGAAAAGCCACCTTTTCCTTCAAAGTTATATGTCTAGTATCTGCCAGTTCTCTGCCAAAGTACAGTCACACTGACTGGTACGTGCACAATTACACACACCCTGGAACACACCTATCCCTTAATGCTCAGCACGGAGACCATGAGCAGAGCCTGCACCTCTACCTACATCAGCAACCCACTATTAAGTAAGAGATTAAATATTGGGGAGAGCTTTTAACAATGCTACATAGGGGGAATACTATTTCCTCTTGTGTTTATAGCAGAACTCACGGTCAGTTTGCATGGTCAGGCTTTGCACCAGCAGGTCAATGGAGGGGATCCTGCCCCTCTGCTGCGCTCTGGGGATTCGCCCCCTGCAGTCCTGATCCTGCTCTGGGGCAGCAGCACAAGAGGGATGTGGAGCTGTTGGAGCAAGTGCAGAGGAGGCCATGGAGATGCTGCGAGGGCTGGAGCAGCTCTGCTCTGGAGCCAGGCTGAGAGAGCTGGGCTGGGGCAGCCTGGAGAAGAGAAGGCTCCTGAAGGGGAGACCTGAGAGCAGCTCCAGTGCCTGAAGGGGCTGCAGGAAACCTGGAGAGGGACTTTGGACAAGGGCCTGTAGGGACAGGCCAAGGGGAATGGCTTTAACCTGCCAGAGGGGAGACTGAGATGAGCTCTTAGGCAGAAGCTCTTCCCTGTGAGGGTGCTGAGGCGCTGGCACAGGGTGCCCAGAGAAGCTGTGGCTGCCCCATCCCTGGCAGTGTTCAAGGCCAGGTTGGACACAGGGGCTTGGAGCAAGCTGCTCTAGTGGAAGGTGTCCCTGCCCGTGGCAGGGGTTGGAGTTGGATGAGCTTTAAGGTCCCTTCCAACACAAACCAGGCTGCGATTCTATGAGAAACTAAAAGATGGCTTGAAGGTCTCTGCCCAACAGAGTCAAGATGCTTTGTACAGAGAGTTTATAATCCATGGGGGAAACTGCTCCTAAACTGGCCAGCTTAACGGGAAACCTTGAGCAACTGAGCTAACCCAGGGTTCATACTTCAAGAAGCACATGCAGAGCTACTGCAACTTCTAGTGTTGGTAAGTGCGGGGCTTTTAGGAGAATAATAAAGGACAAAATCTATAGTATGATGTCCTGTAAGATAAAGAGCAGGGGATTAGATACCAGCAAGTACAGAAGAAAGAGGCAACAGCAGATCCAATACACAACACACATTTTATCAAGATCTCCAGGGTATTAGAGGTTTATCAGCATGTGTATTACAGAAGCACAGGCACACCCAGGAAACCCAGTCAATCAGGGCTTCCACACATCACAGCCTGATAAAGATCCCACTGAACCTCCAGAAGCACCAGAAATCAATCCTGATTAGAGAGCAAGCTGAGCACATGGACAGGCAGCACCGAGTTCTGTGTGCAGGGACCCTGTGTGGACCTGATGTGGACATCTTGAAGACACCTCTTGCTCCCCATTTAGGGCCATCAACAGGTTCACCATCAGACAAACCCACTCTTTTTCCAGCAGGACTGCTCATACCACTCCTAGTGCTAGGTTGGACAGGGCTTGGAGCAACCTCCTCTAGTGTGAGATGTCCCTGCCTGTGGCAGGGGTTGGAACTGGATGAGCTTTAAGGTCCCTTTCAACCCAAACCAGTCTGGGATTCTATGATTCTATGAACAAGCCACAAAAGAAACCTCCAAGCCCCAAATTCTAAGCAGACAGAGGAACACCAATGTAATCAACAGGTGGGTAAGGAGACTTTCCCTAAGCCTTCCCAGAGGAGGGGTTTAAGCCCACTGTAGACCAAAACAACCACTCACAATCCCTAAATCTAAAACTTTCAAGGATGCTGGAGCAGGACTCTTCATCAGGGACTGTAGCTATAGGACAAGGGGTGATGGGTTCAAACTGAAACATGGCAAGTTCAAGTTAGATATAAGGAAGAAGTTCTTCCCTGTGAGGGTGCTGAGGGTCTGCCGCAGCATGCCCAGAGTAAATGCTCCATCCCTGGCAGTGCTCAAGGCCAGGTTGGACAGAGCCTTGGGTGCCCATGTCAGGGAGCTGGAACTGGATGATCCTGAGGTCCTTTCCAACCCAAACCATTCCATGATTCTATGAACCAGGGCACCCACCCGGCTCCGGGCATGCTGTGAGCACAGGTATAGGGGAGAGATGGAGATGGGGCTTTTCATGCCAGCCCTGGGCTGCCCCTCATGCTATACCAGCTCTTTGAACTGACCTTTACCTCGCTGCGCTGGTGCAGGACACGACGCTGAGTGACAATGTCCCACAATGCAATTACCATGCGTCAGATGAACCGGTCCCTTACAAATCACCTCGAACTTTACACATCTGCTGCCTGTCAGCATCTGCCAGGTTCACTCACCCGAAAATAATGAAAAAACTCTCATTATTGTTCCATAACAGGTAAAGTGGTAAGACAATTATTAGACATCCCAGCTGACCTTGTGCAGACTTCACCAACTGCCCTTGCCAACTTTTGCGGGCAGCCTCTGGGCACATAAAAAACAAAACCTGTTCTTTTTAGATGATGTAAAGGTAAAGACACCAACAGGAAAAGAGAAACAGCTCTGGAATCCAGGCTGGAAGGCATCATTCCTTGTAAAATTCGCATCATCCTGCACGTTGCAGAAGCAACTAACGACATCGTATAAGAATTCCCATCTTTGGTCACTGGCTTCTACAGGAAAGGGCTTTGCTAACACGGAAAAGAGAAAGCTGATACTCCTGTACAGATAGGCAGGGAGGGGAAGAAAGCAAAACCTTCCCATTCTTCTGATTCCTGCCACCCTCACAGTAGGTCCAAAGCACTGAAATCTTGCTGGGGCTTCCCTGATGCTGCTTTTGTGCCCTGATCTGGTGTCCCCGTTTGCTGATGTCCGAGTACAGACAAGCTCATTATCATTCCTGCTCTCTGGTGGCCCAGCTTTCTGCTCCATATAGCAAGGCTGGCCTGAGAAATCCTTACGTACAGCACATTTTGCCCCCACTCCCCCTTAGATTACTGTGTCT